ACTCTGACATCAATTGACATTCTGCGTTTGTTCTTTTTATTATTGCTTATCGGCAACAGTTGTTTATCACGTGTTTTATTTGAGATAACGAATCGAAGTATTGTCGGTACATTCCTATTTATTATCGATGTGATAATTGCTTGTTTACTTAAACTTTTGTCTAAATTATGATCCCGTCAAATTGACGCATATCCGTAGAAATAGGTATACCACATAGAGAATTTCAATATTTCAACGCTTTTGAGGTAAATAGCATTTAATATATATTTACTTCGATCAATGGTTAAAAGTCATTACAAGAGATAAAATAAAAATTCAAACAGGTTTTATAATTTTCCTTACGAAAGTCGAACTCCGTCAAAATGACGTGTCCCCTAAGCCTAGTGTTAATAAGATTGGACGCCTTTTTAAATAAATTCATCTTAAAACGTAGCGCAGAATTACGTTATAATAATGATGGGGGAAAAAACAATTATCTTAATTTAAAGCTCTTATATCACAAGCAGTACAGGTAAATACCTTTAAATTAAGGATACAAAAACAATACATTTATAACTTTTATTTTACATCTTCGTCACACGGTGACACTGAGGAAACTTAAATATTCAGTTTTGTCACACAGTGACCCCTGTTGAGACGTTAATCTCTCATATCTTCCGCACACGGTAACGTTGTTACGAGAATTGTATCTCTCATAATAGTCTTATGTTGTTTCCGGGGAACGTTAGAATGTGACGTCACCAAAGGCTTAGTAACCGTTTTTAACCAAAGCATCATCGTTACAGGAAGGTTAGAACACGCAATATTTTGGGAAAGAAAAAAAAACAGTGGTTTTTAATAAAATCATAACAAGACCATGTCTTCTTCCAGTCCAAACATAACATTCACTATTTAAACATTCAATATTTTAGCAAAAGTAATAACGATTTAAAAAATGTTTAATTTTTTATGACATTATCGTCATTTTTATTGAGCACGCGTAGTCATTTTCAACGCATTCTACACTTATCAAAGAATTTAAATCTTGTAACATATCTTTTACGCTCGTCTATAGGTTCAATTTTAAGTGATAGATTGAATAATCTGTACTGACGATTGGAGAAATTATGAAAGCTGATTTGAGCCATATATATATATATATATAAATATATGTTGATTTTAAACTTAAAGCTCAAACCACAAAGAAGATGAAAAAGTGTTCAATTTCTTAAGTAATTATCGAAAGCTTGTGCAAAAAGTACAATATATAAATCCTCCATCCACCATGCAAATACGGTTTTTAACATCAACTATTTTGATATCAGTTTTTAAAACAAGAAAAATGCTGTAAATTAGTTAAATGCTATTTGCACCGAACTTAAAAGCTGTCTTCTTTTTTATATGGCAATTTTATTAAAAGAAAGTTTAATTAAAAAAATATACTGTACTATTATTTTTTTATAACTATTATTGTAAACTATTATTCGTTTTATAACTATTATTGTAAACTATTATACTTTTTAACTAAATTTCGAGATATGAAATTTTTTATCCTTGAAGTGGAATTTATAAAATATTATGATGATTACGAAATGTTTTATCCTTTCAGCCAGAGTTATCAAAAATAGTGATGATTACGAATAGGATAAAATAGTACCACATTGTGATTATTACGAAAATTTTTATCCTTGTAATGTGAGTTATCAAAAATTGTGATTATTACAAACAGGATAAAATAGTTTTATTCGTTTTGATTTTTTCATAATTACTAAAAATATTTAAGCATCGTGCCCCCTATTGTAAACACTACAATATTTAATATATATTAAGCTCTATATTAATTTAGATTATGAACAATCATAATTAAAACTACTTACCCACACATTTTCCACTAATTTCATGAAAGGATTCATAGCATGTGCACCTTTTCGTAGTTTTCAGTACCACCTCACAAAAACCATTCGCTCCACAATCACAAACTATAAATCAAGGGGAAAAAACATTATGAAAATGTATTAAATAAATGCATCGTTAATGTTGTATTGTCTTTCATGTATAACATACTGAAAGTAAACATACAACTTAAATTAAAAGAGCCTAGATGCCCTTTTTTTCACTTTCTAGTTAAAGGTCTTTATGGTGACAGCGATATACCAGTTAATTAAACTGTGCAAACTCTTATTGTTTTGAGAGAACAATGTTGTCTAGAGAACAAGGAGATTTGTTATCTAGAGAACAAGGTGTTCATAGTAGCAAATATATACCAACTGTTTAAACTTTGCAAACACTTCCTGCTTTGAGAAAACAATGGGAAACAAAATATGGGAACGAAAACGTACTGGTCAATAATGCGCACTCTCTTAATGAAGAATTTATAGGTGCATGGAAGATGTTAAATGCACTGATGTGAGATGATAAACTTAGACTTAGGTTGGTAGGTACGTTGAAGTAGAGTTGTACAATGGGCTACGGTTTGGGTAACATCTCTGAGGATGATCCGAAGACGTCATCGCAATGTTGATCCTCTGCACCCCGGTGGCATCTGATGGTGCTTTGGTGGCCCGACGACCTGAGTGTGAAGTCGAGTAGAACAGCTTAACGTGGACCGATACTGCGCGCTTTCGGCCCATACGCAGGCTGATCAGAGTGATCACCCACTCGCTGACTGTCCGCATCCAGTAATGTTTGACTTCGGTGCTCTACTGGAAACCGTGTCTTTCGGATCAATATACTACAGTACTTTATGCCAAGGAACAGCAATCATCCGGAGGGAAGGGTTTCCGTTCCAACCTTGAACCGACTACTGATCCTCCAGCGTTAAAGGAAGACATAAGGAAGGAAGCCATGGAGGATTTAAAAGCAATTACCGATTTACAATTAGATTACAAACCGGCAACCTGCAAGGGGTCCATGTCAAGTAAAAAAAGAATTGGGGGTTCATGAAATGAAAATGGGGGTCAAAGATAGTGGATCTCATATAAGTAGGTCGTGATTTTCAATTTTGGCATTTCATGAATGGAATAATCAACATTACCTGTTTACTTACATAATATAAGGACATATATCTATCTATATCCCACATAATTTATAAAAGTAGCTAGGAAGTAAAAATTGCATTAAAATTCAAGTTATTAGGATTATTTTTTGATATACGAAACTGATTTATCATAAACTAGCAGTTTGCCTGCAGCTCCACCCGCGTATGTTTTTATTTTCCTTGCGTGTAAAGTTTTGTTTTGTAACAAAAAAGTATTATTCCGCAGTAAATTGTAGCCTGGCAAGTGTGTCAACTCTTTAGCTAGCTAGACCTCCAATTTTATTTGCGTACAAGATGCGGGAGATTTGTTGCTCAGTTTTTACGTGAAAACGTAATAAACAAACCTACAATACAATGCTATGGTTTTGTTCACCAACTTTTTTGTGCAATTACCACCACCTATCTAGTCTCGTCAAGTACTTTTTAAACTGCAAACTTTAAATAGATTTTTGACTTTGAAAACCTCATGGAGGACGCCTTCCTGGGGCCAGTTGCAAACTTTTTTTAACGAGTGATGCAACAATGACCATTTGAGAATTAACAGAATGGAGCGTACATAGTGAAAATAATATTTTATAGTGCTAATAATATGACGATATTCGATATGAATACGGAGAAAATAAATGTATATAATGCGTTAACTAAGGTCATATCTATCTGATTGGTACTATAAGTATATGAATATTGGGAAATGTAAATGTATGAAATACGTTGACTGAAATCTATTTGATTTCTAAGAAGACTAATCTTTTTGTTAGATAAAAGCTATAAGTGATACATTATGATCTATGTTGTAATATGATGCTTATTTGTTGTGGTAAGTGGTTGAAACGTGCTCGTGTTGTCTTGTTATACGAACAAACTTCGTACAGGAAGTATACATTTTGATTATTTTTGGCATTTTATATCTGTGTGAGTATATATTTAATTATTTATGTATTAGTTATCAGATTTATGTACTCTCAAAATTCGTCACTTTTGATGACAATTACACGGGTAATGTGCCCATTTATTAATTCCTACTTTTATTTTTAGGCAACAAGGATCAGAAGGCTTACACCTCAGCGATCCTCACCTGATGATGAAGAGGTAAAGGGCCATTAAAGCCTCAGGCAACCCGGCCAACCGATACGACTGTTACTTTTTAAACGGAAATTGGGTTCGCGTGCACAACTGGTTCACCTTTTAAATTATCTGAGCAGACTACTTATAAAAAAAAAGTGTTTAGACTTTCTGATCATGGTTGGATGAAGCATGCATGACTATTGTTCACTTTTTTGTTTTGCACATTGTACAAATTTAGAAAAATAGTCAGTTTGATTCTTATCAAATTTTTCTTTGCAACACAATTTATACAAATGTATTAATATTTTTTTTTAAAAATTACAAAAGAAAGTTAGTCTTTTTATTTAATGCAAGGAAAGTGCCATATAAATATCTAAAAGAATAATTTTTTTTTTAGTCACTGATGGTTTTTTAGCGATTAAAAAAATAAATAGCAATTCAATTGCTATATCAGCATCAGCAATTGTTATAATCGGTTGCAATTATTTGTTTTGAAGTTTTCAATTAGTTTATAATACCGTGAGAATTGGGTATAAAAGAAACACAACTACTTCCACTTAGTAGGAATAACATTTACCATGACGCAATGCTAAATTCTATGCCACTATCCACATAAATCAATTATTAATCAAAAATCGAATATCAATTACTTTTCTTTATAATGCAATAAAATCTGGCGAGCAGCTATTTAAACGATCAAACACTTCGTTTGTTTATTTGTGGCTTGAAGTTAGGCTTGCAGAAAATGCTGTTCATGGGTTAAATTTAGTAGGAATAACACAACCTGTGACGTAGGCTATAGTATACCCAATTATAATTTGACTGGATCAGAATGCACATAGTATGAAGCACCTGGAATGTATATTACTTTTTTGTTAGCAAAACATGATTACTTCTTCTATTAACAGCTTTCGTTATTTTAATTTCTAATAATGACTGGTATTTGTTACTAAATTGAATTGTTATCCTATTTAAAGAACTCAGAGCACCATTTTTGTAAGCATATCATGCATGAAAAACATTCAAATTTAACTGTGTTACATATTTAATTTATATCATTTAAGTTGTCTTGTTGTTCATCTGTGTATTTAAGCTGCATGGAATGCTTCCTCTTATGACTCCAAGTGGAAAGTAGGCGTTTTTCAGATGTAAGTATTCCCTCCTTTATTTGCTGGCTCAATCTGATTTGCAACTCTATTATTTTATGCCCCAATTATCAAAAAATAGTTATGTTTGTGCGTATAATAGCTACTGAAAATGATTGTGAAACTATGATGCACATTATAATCCAAAAAAAAATAATGACTTTTAAAAAAAAATTTCTTACCACTTTTATTTACATATCTATATTTATGATATTTGTATATTTATCTTATCACTTATTATTTATCCCCTTTTTTTCTTCAACAAGCTCTCTCGAGAGGAATTACTCTCGGATGAGTGACTCTAAACTTAGTCGGTACGCACTGTAGTTTCTATTTCTTTTCGTTTTTTATATTTCTCTCACGGTATAAATTTAACTGTGTTAAGACTCTCATTTACACAAGTGACAGAAATAAAAAAAGCATTTTGAGAATAATCACTCTCGGATTGACGGCAAGAACAGCGATTCAACACTTACACTTAGTCGATGAGCACCGCCCTTTCGTATTACTGTTTTAGTAAAAATAAATCGTGTTCTGGGTTTCAGATATAAAACTCGTTTCCAGCTTAAAGAGACACAACGTATACAGGGTTGCCAAATTCCATCTCTTTTTTTAAAATTTATTCTATGTTTAATGTTGCATAATTAGTTCAATGTTTACATTATGATGTTTATAAATAGTTTAAAAAATATTCATGAAATCGCCATTGACACATTTTTAATTTTCGTAATCTTAAATATAATTTGCACCAGTTGCCGTTTCCAATTTTTCCATCATAAAATTATTTCAGTCAAAAAATTCTGTTTCACATTAAATAAAAATTTTCAAATAAAAAATAAAGTGAGTTTAATACATGTATACAGGGGACAAAATGTGAAGTTTATTTCATTATTATTATTCAATAATTCTTCGATTTTTTCTTTGTGGAGATATTAAGGATTGTTTTAATTTTATTATGAACATGAAGCAATTAAAATTCTGTTTTTTTTCCCCTTCAATTTAGTGGAAAAATCTGAATTTTTAAAACATATTTTTCATTGAAGGTGAATTCTAGATCTAAGTTATCGTATCATTACATTTTTATTAGTACTTTTGATCTTTTTAAACGAATAAAATTTCAAAGCTTAGCGAGACAAAGTGCTTCTATTTCCCCATCTTCGTTCAAAACTGAACCATTAGAATGTTCGATGTGGAGAATTCTGGGAAAAGAAACAAATATGTGGATTTCTCGTCTTAAACCCGCTTCACTCGCACGTAAGGGGGAAAGTACCCCCCCCCCCACGTTGATCTTCGTAGATTGTAGATTCGAAAATGTGGGTATGTGTCTTTTTTTATTTATACATAATTTCCTTTGACTGAAGGGATTTCTTCACAACAAAAATATACATGCTACAAAATATTTAATTAATTTTCTTTTGGGTAAGAAAGCAAATTAGACAATTCTCTACATAATTAAATATTTATTTTTAAATTATTTTATCTTCCGTTCAAGGGCAAAGAGAATTAACATTGAATCAGAAATATACCATTTTTTTGATATCTCATTTTCTTTTCTTATTTGATAAAAAAAGAGAAATTAAATTATGTAATTAATACATACGTATTATTAAATTGATCACTTTTCCAGATGCTTAGAACTAATATTTTCGTAAAAATAAAATTTTACTTAATAAAAACTCAAGATTATATAATTACTGCGAGAATTGAAATATAAAATAGATTGAAATACGGA